GGGCACCGGGTCAAATGCTCAGCATATTAAAAGTTATACCGACCACCGATCGGACTTTAACAGCATATTGCACCGTGTCAACTCGTTGATTTTCCACACCATAAAATTGATTTAGAGTAAGAACACTGTAAACTAAACAAGCTAATTCAATGGACCACTTGACAAGGTACGAATTTCAGCATTCTGATACATGTTTCTTAACCAAAATTTCACGTAAAACACGATGGACACGACGAAAATTACCAAAAGCAACTCCTCACAAAGATATTAAATGATTCCTGATGCTTGAATTCAAACCACCCGCTCATGAAAACTCAATGCTCTGCGTGATTCACATCGCGCGCTAAACGTTATCATGACAGTCTCTACGATATAAAAATCTGGCAACCTCAATCTTGACGCTTTGGCTCAGCTATAGCAAATTGATTACAGTTTGAACAACACAGGGTGGGAAATGAACAGTGCTCGATTGAGAAGCTTGCTGAAACCGTTGCAGTGAGCGATTTGACTTACGTAGAGCTTTGAGTTTCGTGTCAGCGGGCAGTTCAAATTCCTCGTAACCAATTTGAAATAAAAACGTTAATATCTTCGTTAGGAGTTGGTTTCGTACCTTGTCTAGTGGTCCATTCGACCAATTCGGCACTACATTATTTAAGCTCGCTTTGGTCTATTTTAGAGATTTAAGTGGACTCTCTTCGACCGTGTGGCACAACCCTCGATTGGCGTTCCGTGTTCTCCGGAACAGTTTTTTCAAAAACCTTACTTTTTTTATTAACTCCTTCAGTGAGCCTCGAGTCTTGGTTTACCACGAACGTTTTAGTGCTCTATGTCCATCGATCTACTAGGTTTGTCAAACCAAACCTTCAAATCGTCGATCCAAATGTGCAGTTCACGTGATCAAACTGTGAGCCAAACTCGGTAAAGAGACTAGTGTACAGGAATCAAACATTCGGTTAAACGAATCGAAGCTCAGTTTGACAAACCTGTTACTTCGATTGATACAGAACACTTAACCTCGGCTCATATTATCCACCTAGATTGAACCGACGCGACATGTAAAAAATAAATTTGATCATACGAATCGAGAGTTTGATCTAACGAATAGAATAATTCACTTTACGTAGAATACCGATGTTTGGTTCGTATAACATCGCTCCTCTGACTTAAGAGCGTTGCTCAATGCCCACGTGAGCCCTGATTTACACGAAATTCCATGTTTTCTGGGGCTCATGCGGAAATCGAGTTACGACGTTGCGTCGCGGGAGCGAAACTGATCAAACTTCTTTTCCAGTAAGGAAGGAGATTGACCACTGATAATGACCTGGATATGATCATCAACGGAGCAACGAGGAGCGAACAAGGTGCAATGGAGAAAATCCGTTTTACATAAGCGTCATTAAGTCGAGAGGGCCAAGGTTCCACGGGCACACCATACCGGGTCGGCCGCGGCGCAACATGTCCATGCCTTTGCGGTGGTGGTATCGTCTTAGGAATTTTGGATCGATTTTTTAACAAAAAACATCGAAGTTTTCCCTCAAAATCAAAATTTCCGAATTTTGCTATACTCGAATGTATTTAAGCGGCTCGTGAGCCGATTTTTGGACCAATATTTGATGAAACTCCCTGGAAATTTTCAATCCAATAATTTTCTTTTTTTTTTTAAGAAAAGAGAGCTAATTTTGAGCCCACGTAATTTCCCATTTTTTGGTCACGATTTGAATCAATACACAGGATTCCGGAGGAAAATCGAATCGATTCGATAAATCGATTTTATCGAAATCATCCCCAACACTAGATCAAACTGCCGTCCCAAGGGAGGAGAGGAACAGTGAGCGCCGAGCCGCCGCGCCGTCCTGAAACGGATGGTGGAACGGAACCCTGGTAAAAATTGGCGATAGGAGCTGGAGCTGCGTTTCAAAATACCATAGGAGTTCTAATAGCCGACTGAAGAAGGCGATAGAAAATTATATAGCTGGCTGTAGAAAGTGGGAAAAATCTTACGGCCGGGCTACACATAGCGATAAAAAATTATACAGCCGGGCTATAGTTCCTATCGTCGGGCTTTACACTTTATCGCCTGCCAGTTGCTTTTTTCGCCATCGGCTTTAAAAGGCTATAAAAAATTGTGTAGAAATTCGTGTGCTTTGTAAATCCTTAAGTTTGTACGGAATCACCTTAATGTTGACAAAACGCACATTATATTTTCCTTTACTACATATTTTTTTTCATCAATTAAAATGAGATTAATCCATACAGAGTGTGCAAACATTTCAAAGTCATGAGTTGAAAAACGCTAACTTCACGAGATTGAATATTAGAGCCTAACACAAAGCGGAACGGCGGTGCACTGGCGCCTGCAAACCTAACAGGGATACTTCACGCATTGCGCCAATGCGCGTTTTCACCAATCTGCGCCGCAGCGCACCACGGCGCTTGAAGCAACTATTTCACACCAGAGGTATTGCACAGTATCATACGAAATTGAAGGCGCTCCAACATATTGAGAATGGCAGTCATCCTTCAAAATTACGGAGCTTTCCTAGCAAAATAAATCAAGACACTACGGCCCAAAAAGAGAGCGGTAGTCCAAAAACTCAATAAGTTCTAGCATCCGTAATTAGTAACGTTCAGCATACACTTTATCGCCGGGCGGGTTGTTGCTTAATCGCCATCGGCTACCTATAAAAGGCTGTAAGAAATTTTGTTGCCGGCTATAGAAGCTATTGGAAATCTTACAGCCGGCTGTAGGTCTATGGTATTTTGGAACACAGATTCCACTGCCAATTTTTACCAGGGAATCACTGGATGCTGAGTAAGAACACCGTAAGAACATCCAGGCGTTGCCAAATTTCCAAGCGAATCAAATGATCTCGATGATCTACGCATATCTGTATTCTGCGCTTAAATTTGTCCATTATGTTATGCAAAATTTAACCTGGCATATCCATGTCCAAAAAGTGAAACCACGTATCTCCAATTGCGACGTTGCAGACTTTTTGCTATACTTGATTTCTTCCTTGGAAAACCAGTTATTTGTTAAAAAAAAATCCTTGATTTTTCTTTGCTGTAGGCAGAATGTGCTCCGTAAATTTCAAGCTATAAATTTCGCATGTTGTTCTTCGAAAAAAATCAAATAGGATCGGAAATTTTGAAACACCGTAATGCAGATACGTGGTTTCGCCCTTCGGCCATCGATATCGGAAAATCAAAGAGTAAAACGGTCATCAATTTTCTTGAAAATAATCATTTTCTGGAAGGGAATTTGGGAGCCTGCTAATGCTCATACGGTGTTTTTCCTCGGGACGGTGGAGTTACTGGGTGCTGGCTGCCAAAAATGCCCTCTTCTCCGATCCGACTCGGTCTTGGCTGCGGCTTACGAAATGGAAACAGTAATGACGACTCCCCGGTTGTGCAATCGTGAAATTCGGTTACGTCTGTCACTGTGTACGTGTCCATCTTCGATGTGTGCGTGCGTAGCCGCAGTCCCACCGCGCGGCTGCTTATTATGCGCCGTAAAGCCGTAAGCCGTAAGTTGTCCGAGACGGCACTCGGATACTGTCTCTTTCGATCACGCTTCCGTTTGGTGCGAGGAGTCGATTGAAATTTTTCGACGATTCCATTCGACCGCAATTCGATTACCCTGAGAAAAACCGGTAAAATTACCTGCTACCCGACAGTTACCAGCTTTGAACTAAATATTTCCAGTGGTTTTACCGTTTTCTGGTATTAATACCATTTTTTCAGTGCTTTTGCGCTAGATACAAGAGACCCTCCACTAGTATCTTGGCCATTGTGGAAGCTTTTACTTTCGGGACTTGAGCATTCTACTGTTGACTTACCTACATGGTTGATGTTCAACAACGTGTTGGCAGTTTCGTTTTGCAAACAAGCCGAAAATGGCCGACGTTTGGGAAACTTGTTTGGCTCATGACGTCATCCGAAACTCTTCATCGACCATGTAGGTAAGTGTGTTTTTCTTTTAAAAAAAATTGAGGAACTTTCAATTCTTGTTTTTAAACATTTTATAAGTGTTAAACAGCGACAAGAAATCTTTTAAGAATTTTCCAACACATTTCTCACTGAAATTTTACGTCTCCTATATTTTTTTCAAAGGGCTGTCTTCGTAAAATTTACCAGTTTATTTCAAAGTTTTGTTAAACACTAAATGATACTGCGAGAGAGACAAACATCGATGGCTAAAGTACGAAGCCACGTATCCTTGTTTACGACGTCGCAGAATTTCTATCATAATTTTTTTTTTCTTTTGAAAACTAGCCAACTCGCTTTCTCGAAAACCTCCTTGAATTTTCCTCTCTATAAGTAGAATATTCTGTACAGATTTCAAGCTATGAAATTGGCGGATTTATCTTCGAAAAAATAAGATATGAGCTGAAATGGAGAATTCGCATGCAAATTTTTTATTGCTTCATCTGAAAGTACTTATAGAGCTGATTTCATAGTATTTTTTATAATTTTATTCTGATATGGGAAATAGTGTAGAAATAGATTTAAAAGTGAGAACATGCACCGCCTAGTGACGTCATCTGGTGGCATTTTCCATTTAAACACATGTATTTTAACAGATTAGATCATTTTATCATATTAATGTTAATAATTGTTTACTTCATGAACCAAGGGTATCCTCGTGTTCAGTTCATTCAGTAGTTCCCACTTAAACACGAAATCCATCAAATTTCAGACACCTGCATTTGCAAATTCTCTATTTTGAAACGACACCGGCATAGAGGTATGTGGTTTCGCACTTTGACCCAGTGGTGTGGCGTGCTCTGCTATATATCTATTTTCATGCCATTTAAAACTATGGAAAAGGATCGATAAACAGGGTGTTCGCAGCGAACACCCTGATCGATTCTCTATCATAGGTTTAAATGGCATAACAATCGATTTATCGCAATTCACGCCACGCCACTGTTTTAACCACCATTTCTTGTGGTCCTGGCTATCATTATCCAGAGAGAGCTTTGATTGGGGGCACTTACGCGTGATTCCGGCTGGACTGGAGCTGACGTTATGTTCAGGCCGTTGGCAGAGCACCGGGGTCAGGACGGGGACGGTGAACGAAACGATTACAACTCTGAGCAGAAACACTAAACTTACGAGACGGCACTCACCCCAAGCCAAAGCACTTGTCGCCAGAGCCAGCTTCATTTCCGCACACCGAACCGAGCTCAGAAGCTCAAAGGCCGGGCTTGGTAAACACGCTCAGAGCTGCCCGAACCAGGCGCACAATGAAAAGTTCGCTCAGTCACAAAGCCAGTCTGACGCTACGTCTGTTCCGCGACTTTTTCGAGCTTTGATAACTCCTGTTACGCACTCCCGCCGGGGCGTTGCGTCGCGCAGAATTTTCGGGAATCGCGAACCGATTTTTCCGGGAAAATTTACCGCGGCCGCAACGCCCTAACTTCGTGGTAGCCCTCTTGTTGCTTCGGGTGGTCGAGCAGCTGTACACTTGGAAGCTCACCAGACACGGGATGCTTTTGACTCACTTCTTTTGCACTTGCTGCGTTTTAAATGGCATTACGGTAGATTCTAGTTCGATCGCAAGAAAATATCCGGCTTGAGAAATTTGCTCGCACTCACTTTTTTGCGATTTTATTCTCGCCGGTTTTCACAAAACAAATATGACCTATAAATCGAAAGTAATGAACTGCTTTGATCGGATTGATTTTATCAGATAAGATTAGACTCTGGGTGTCAGATATAAAGCCCAAAGCACGGAAACCACGCGAGGAGTGTTACGTTAATAGAGACTTTGACAATTTACAGTTGAGGCACAGTAGAGTAATCCTGAACACTCTTCCCTCTGACCATATATATTGTATAAACCGAGGTATTTATTCTATCGTGTCGGATTTTTTAAATCCCCACTCTTCAAAAAACTTAATGAGACTTTTGGTACGCTTCAGAAAAGTCATCGAAAATGTGATGGAAACCACGAAAATTCTACCGCGTCAGGTTGCATAGCGTTTCAATTGAAGGCGCAAACACTTCCGTTACAAGATCTTGCACGGCACACCGGAGCACCGGACTAACATTTAGGTCAGAAAACGGTGGACGCACGGAAAAGCGCGGGAACAGCGCGGCACGGCGCGGAGGTGTCTCGGTCCTGGCAGGCCTGAACACTTTCACTGATTCACTGATTCTGAATCCTGATTCACTGAAGTGGCGTGGTACGCCGCGCCGCTCCGCTCCGCGCCACGCCACGCCAGCCGTCGGAGACGTGACTTGAGGCGATGACGTCACTAGATCTCGGCGGNGGGGGGGGGGGGGGGGGGGGTTTGCTCTGAGAGCTTTCCCGCCTCTTCTTTGTCGATCAGCGGTCCGATTATTGAATCTATGTCGATACGACAAAAAAAGACGAAACAGTATCTTACCCATGCAATATAGCATTTCGATGTCTTATCATGCTTCTTCAAACTTTCAACAATCGGCTCACAGAAACGCCTAGGTAAAAATCGCCAACAATGCGATGGGTATGCAACCCCATGATCACGGTGATCAATGAGTTATTGCACCAGGCGGAGGCCATTCTCCTATATTCCTGCAATAATTTGAAAAACGAATACTCTTTTTTTGCAGTCCAAACTCCTCTTATACAAACATGGTTGCAATTTTTCATGGAAATTAAAAGCTCGAAATTTCGTGTGAAATGTTTCATGAAATTGCAGAAGGATCAAGAATGTGAAAGAAACTGAAAAATACTCGAAATTAAATTTAAAATTAAATGAAAGGGAAATGGTTCTTGCATTATGGTGTTCTTTAGTGCGTGGTACAGACCCAGCTCTAGAAAACATGGATATGGCCAACGTAGAAAACCAAGCATTTCCATTTCGGTGTTTCAAAATTTCCTCCTCTATTTTCTATATTCGAAGACAAACAAGCCAACTTTATAGCTTAAAATTTCTGAGAAATAATCCGCTAACCAAGAAAAAAATCGAGAAAGTTGTCAAAAAATTACATCGACTAGTTTTCTAAATAAAAAATAAAGAATGAGTCTGCAACAATACCCTGGTAAAAATTGGCAGTAGAATCTGTGTTCCAAAATACCATAGACTTACAGCCGGCTGTAAGATTTCCAATAGCTCCTATAGCCGGCAACACAATTTCTTATAGCCTTTTATAGCCGATGGCGATTAAGCAACAGCCCGGCGATAAAGTATATGCTAAACGTTACTAATTACGGATGCTAAGACTTGGTGAGTTTTTGGACCACCGCTCTCATTTTGGGCCGTAGTATCTTGATTTATTTTGCGAGTAAAGCTCCTTACTTTTGAAGGATGCCTGCTATTCCTAATATGTTGGAGCGCCTTCAATTTCGTATGATACTGTGTAATACCTCTGGAGTGAAATAGTTGCTACAAGCGCCGTGGCACGCGGCGGGCGGGCAGCCAGCGCAAAACGCGCATTCGCGCCTACAAACCTAACGGGGATACTTCACGCATTGCGCAATGCGTGAAATATTCCTGTTAGGTTTGTAGGCGCCAGTGCACCGCCACTCCGCTTTGTGTTAGGCTCTAATATTTACTCGTGAAGTCAGCGTTTTTCAACTCATGACTTTGAAATGTTTGCACACTCTGTATGGATTAATCTCATTTTAATTGATGAAAAAAAAATATGTAGTAAAGGAAAATGTAATGTGCGTTTTGTAAATATTAAGGTGATTCCGTACAAACTTAAGGATTTACAAAGCACACGAATTTCTACACAATTTCTTATAGCCTTTTATAGCCGATGGCGAAAAAGCAACTGCCAGGCGATAAAGTGTGAAATAGTTGCTTCAAGCGCCGCCGTGTTACGCTGCGGCGGCGCGGTGCGAAGGGCGGGCAGCCAGCGCGAAACGCTCATTAGCGCCTACAAACCTAACGGGGATACTTAACGCATTGCGCAATGCGTGAAGTATCCCTGTTAGGTTTGTAGGCGCCAGTGCACCGCCGCCTTTCTTCTACAGCCAGCTATATGATTTTCTATCGCCTTCTTCAGTCGGCTATAAGAACTCTTACGGTATTTTGAAACGCAGCTCCTATCGCTAATTTTAACCAGGGTACACGTGGAGATACGTGGTTTCACTGGTTGGCCATCGATGTGTTTCATAATTTTAACGGATACTTTTCACAGCCTTGTGAAATTTCATGAAATACGATATTTCACGGGAGTTTCCAATCTTTCATATTTCCCAGTTCTCTTTTGCAATCCTGCATACAGAGCGGAATCATCTCTCTTTGCGGAGTAAGTTTCGGTTTTAACATTGATTTTACTCCTCATTCGAATCACTAAATTTTGCTCATGGCCTCAGAGTGCGATGCACCCCTGATTTTGCTCGGTGATCTTTAGCAATATATGGATAAGTAAGCTAAAACGACCCACCGTGGTTCATACAAAGGCCGTTTAGTTTTACAGTTATCTAAATCAAGATTTAACTCGATTATAGGTGGGATAATTTCCGATGAGAATCGCGAATCCGTTGCGGTTCGTTGGACGATCGGTTGCATCCGCGTAACGAGAACTCTAGACTTTAAAATCGTCCAGCGATCAATCGACCACATCGAATTATTGTTATCGGTACTGTACATCCACCTTAAAATTTTGATATGTTTAATCAACTGCCCACACCGTGCAATCGTCGCTCATAGTTCTGCCGTGCTAAGGACGAACGCCGTAAGTACATTCGAGAGTTGCCAGACTTCCTTCGATAAAATTTTTATTTTTGCGGAACGTTATGAATTATAAGAAACAACTTAATCAGCCAAAGTACTCATAATAAAAGAACAACTTAATTTGGGGAAAAGACTGCAAATAAAGAAAAAGGAATAAACAAAACCCGGAACGTTTCAAAATAATTACAATTTCATTTTCAACCGGAAAATAAATTAAAAACAAAAACGAGCCGTCGCTACGCTGTAATTGCGAGACCGAGACGTCTGAGACGTTTTGAAACGTTCCGGGTTTTGTTTATTCCTTTTTCTTTATTTGCAGCCTTTTCCCCAAATTAAGTTGTTCTTTTGTTATGAATTATTTTCCTTGAAATTTGCAGGTACAATTGCGAACAAAATTATTTGATAAATTCGAAGAAAAATATTCATAAGTTTACCGGGAAATTCGTGTTTTAGCGAAAGGAATTTGGCAACGCCTGAAGGTTCATACGGCGTTTTTCCTTAGCACGGCAGAGTTGCTCGTCCGCAGTTTGCCTCGAATTGTGGCCTTGACACCTTGATCCAGGAGCCTGGAGCCAGGAGTGAAGGCCGCTCATTGGAGCTCTCCTGCGTGACCAACGCTACATGGTGGCTTCGTTCATTGACACTCGCAGATCGCGCCAACCACGAAGCCATCAATCAAAGGAACATACATGACTGCCGTGCTAAGGAAGAACGCCGTATGAACATTTGAGAGTTGCCAAATTTCCTTCAATAAAATATTTATTTTCGAGGAAAGTTATGAATATTTTTCCTTTAAATTTTCAGAATCTTTGGGTGAAATTGCGAACAAAATTATCCGAAAAATAGGGAGGAAAATTTTCATAGGTTTACCAGGAAATTCGCGTTTTATTAAAGGAAATTCGCCAACGCCTGAAGATTTATACGGCGTTTTTCCTTAGCACGGCAGATAACCACTGCGAACACTGATCGCGAAAGCATCAATTAAAAAGACGCTCGTTACTACAATAACTGCGACGCAGTATTCACAGACTTGTGCTGCTGTGCTAAGGAAAAGCGCTGTATGAACCTTTAGGCCTTGCCAAATTTCTCTAAGTAAATCACGAAGATACGGGAAAATTTGTGAATATTTTTCTTCCAATTTTTCAGATAATTTTGTTCGCAGTTTCATCGAAAGCTCCTGAAAATTTCAAGGAAAAATATTCATAGCTTTTCTCAAAAAGAAACATTTTATCGGAGGAGATTTGGCAACTCTGGAATGTTCATGCGGCGTTTTTCCTTAGTACGGCAGCGTAGAGAGGCGCGTGGGGGCCGTTCATGAAGTCCGTAACGCTCTAGAGAGAGGGACCGAGCCTGCGTTACGCGTGCGTTACAGGGGGAGGAGGAGTCGAGGGCTACGTGTTACGTAACGTTGTAGCCGGCGCAATGCCCCAAATTTCCCGAAAATTTAAGGTGAAAAGTCAACGTGAGATGGCAGTATTTTATGCCAATTCCAGCACTGTGCGTCAATTTGTTGAAGAAGGGAGTTGAACAGAGGCTATGTATTTTTTTAGGGGGATGAAGATCTAGTTAACGTGGTTACGAGGTACGTGGTTAGATTCTTTCACCGTCGATATGTTGAATTGTCCAAATTAGGGATAGTGTTTTGCAACAAGTACACTGAAAAAATGATTGGAAGAATTTACCATTCCTTCACGCTGTACAGCGTCAATTTAGAGTCAATTCTGCCATAAGAAAGGTAAACGTTACCCCTGGTAAAAATTGGCGATAGGGGCTGCGTTTCAAAATACCGCAGGAGTTCTTATAGCCGACTGAAGAAGGCTATAGAAAATCATATAGCTGGCTGTAGAAAGTGGAAAAAATCTTACGGCCGGGCTACACGAAGCGATAAAAAATTATACAGCCGGGCTGTAGTTCCTATCGCCGGGCTTTACACTTTATCGCCTGGCAGTTGCTTTTTCGCCATCGGCTATAAAAGGCTATAAGAAATTGTGTAGAAATTCGTGTGCTTTGTAAATCCTTAAGTTTGTACGGAATCACCTTAATATTTACAAAACGCACATTACATTTTCCTTTACTACATATTTTTT